CAGGAGGTGAAAAGACATCCTCAGCTACTGCCCTGAGGGCTCTCTGCCTTTCCTTCCCAGGACCTGCCTCCTGTAGAAAGATGTGGCCTCTCCCAGGCCAGCACCATGTGACATGAAGGATGAAAGGCATGTTCACAGCCAGTGGGCTGCAGACACAGGGATAATTTCAACACCTCTTCACCAATTCACAGACTTGTACTTAGAATTTCAAGTTTTCCTAAATTTTGCATGACGGGCTAGAGTGTCCTTTTATGCAAAGCATCTTCGTTTTTACTGTTGCAGTTATTTCCTGCATTCCCCATGGTACCTTCTAGTCATATTTAATGTACAGCAAAGAAAACCTGTTTTATATATTTTTTCTACATTAGATGGAAATTTTAAAAACCACTGTGTATTCTGCTTGCCAGGTCTTATGATCTTTGCTCTCTTAAGAGCAACCTCTCTCCTTGTTAAGAGTCAACACTGAAATTCATTGAGCTGTTGGTGCCACTGTCCAATGCTGCTGAGTAGAACGAAGTGCTTCCCACTTGCAGAGCTGAACCTCCCAGGCCCCAGGTTTTAGTGCTTTAACTGCTCTTTGAAACTCAAGAGAGATCTGCTGTTAATGCTGCTGATGACAAACAGCTACCCTGTGTAAGGCAACGTGCCTCATGCCTCTTCTTGACCTTCTGCACCCACAGGCAGCCCCTCACGGGCCCTCCCAGGCTCAAAGGTTTGCATCTCTGAACAGCATCTCTGTCATGCTGTCCTGGCACAGCAGGAGACACTGAATGCTCAGGAACGCTTGAAAAAGACCACGGCTGCACACAGGTATTGAAGGATGTTTGAAACCTGCAGTGAAGGGTTGTGTGTGCATTAACTGTGCTGCACTTGGCCTAAGCGTGAAAGAGGTAACAGGAAAGCCCCGTACAAAGAGAGCTTGATTTGTGTTTTACTTCCTTGATTTCAGTTGCAGTAATGTGGTTATATTTTCTTTTTGAGGACTTGAGCTATATTGAAAAATAATTGGTCATAGTTTACAGCACTTTCTCTAACTTACAAAACTCATGTCTTAGCGTGACTCCATTTAATATTTCTCCTCTATGCTACATGCTTTATTAAAACATCCATCTGGTAAGCCATTTTTGTCTTCCGTCTTTTAAAGCTACTTTTAAAATTATGAAGTTAACATAAGATGTGCAGAAACTTTATTCTGCTGACACTGGAAAATTGCAGAACACATATTTCACCACTTTCTGATATATGCTTACTATTCTAGAGGGTAATATTTTTTCCACTAATTAGAAGGATTTGGGATGCTATTAAATTGTTTCCTAATTTTTGCACAGCTAATGGTATAACAATAACCAAACATTACTTGTAATTTAAAATGTTTATTATTTAGATACTGCTCTAAGAGATGGAACAAAATTTAAATTATCAGTAATTTCAGCTAAACACCATGGATGTCCTGTGAGAAGAATGGATGACATGAAAAAATCCACAGCTTCAAACTGGAAAAAACATTACATTTGGAAACAGCTTCTAAGAACTACAGGTAATGGTCTCTGTCTGTGTACTTAAAATGAGCTTAATATGATGATGGAAACTACATCTATTCTCTGTCAAAAGGAGCCTCAATGGACATTTAGGCCCCAAATTTCCTTGCCAGTAAGATCTGATTCTTCTTCCAACATGTGTGCTCAAGATATAGTTCATTATTCCCATATGAAAAAGGAGTCAGAAATACTTCCCCAAATTTACATATGGGAGCGTCCAAGGCCTTATTTTAGAACTTAAAGTGACTGAAAGTTTGATTTACAATTCAACTGGATTAATTTCAGGAGAAACAGTTTTAGACTGGCTTCAAAATGAAAATGAAAGAAAGTATCTAATTGCTTTCCTTTTCTCAAATCCTCTGTACTGCTAACACTTGCATATCAGATCATGCATGTTGCAGCTAAAATTATAAACTCACTTTCATCAAATGACTTTGCAATGCAATAAAGTTTTTAATGCCACAAATGAAATTGTGCAACTTTTGAATCAGTTATGTGACATTAATCTAAACCTTTCCATAAATTATTTGTTGAATTTTCTATTGCTGTGAGCCTCCAAAAGTTTATTCAGTCAAAGCTGAACTTCATAAATTAAACTACTGTGAGATCTCATATGGTCATTGTCTAGTGTCAAAAGAAGTGATTATTATACAGTCCTCAATATGTGATATTAATTCCAAACCTTGTATCTATGTACATTTATTGAATTAAGAAAGATTGCTCACATGAGCAGATTTTGAAAGTCCCACTCAACAACAGTAACAATCACCTGGATTGTGGAAAAGCCCCATCTAATAATTTTTTTTTGTATTTTTTTCTTTTTAGAAGAATAAATGTGTAATTGAAATAGTATGCTGTCTCTGATAATAACACAACCAGTCATTTACAAATACTTCCTGAAACAATCAGTCTGAGGGGCACAGGGGACTGCCTGCATGGAACACATTGCAAGACATGACAGCATTAAATGTAATGCTGATTGCACTGAAGTACCATTAATGTCAGTCACAGCTGACAGTACAAGCAGGCAACCCAATTTGTACTCAGTGGTAGAATTCCAAATAGTATTTGATCAGGCTCTGAGGAAATAGAGATGGTTGAATAATAACAAATTTCCCAGTACAGTAAACTAACTAATTGATGACATGGAAGTAAGTTTACCTATTTTAAATAAGTTTGTTAATTAAAAAAAAAAAAAACAAGCAAAAGAAGTTTAACTTAATCTAGAAGTTCCTCTGACCTTGTGTAAGGCTTTTTCTTGCCAAACAGTTAGCATCAGTGTAGAAACCCTCTTCAATGGACAAAAAAATGGTGCTCTTCTGTCACCCCTTTTCTTCAGGTCCACCTGACAGAGTTTCCTGGTGGTGCTGTTTGATTATGTGACAGTTGATTAAACACTTTCATCATCAGTGGCAAAAAATAATGTTATCGTATTTATTAATTTTTAAAGTGCTCCATTGTGAGCACTACAATGATCTGAAATGGAGCAGCTGTCACCTCTTCACGCACAGGTACCTGGGCTTCTATAGAGCTCTCTATAGCATTCAGTTAGAAATGTCTCCTTTTGATGATGCACAATGGGTATATATCCTTGCCAAGTAGGAGAAGATAAACTGTACTAACTCTCAAACATAACTGAAAGCAGGGCCCTGTTTCATTATCCAGCAAAACTTTCATTACAGTTGGAAGGTCTTAAGTTTCATTTGCACTAAAGTAAATCAAAGTAGCTCCACTGAAAATAGGGAAGATGCATTTGATGTAATTACAGGATGGGCTTGGACTAGAACTTGCCCATCTACTGCAACTAATGTACTTAGGGCTTAAAGATACAACGAACTGTACTATTTATAATATTTAAATTGATTTTGAATAAGAGCCAGACAAAAGTATAACATCAATAGCACTGGGATTGGAAACTGGATGGATTGCTTTTCACTTTTCTCTGTGGATGAAACAGAAAATAAACTGTTCAAAGAAGATGGACTTTTTCACAGGGAAGTGAACACAAAGTGAACAAACACTGAAGAAAAAAATTTAAAAATAAAACAATATACGTCCCTAGGACTAGAAAACAATGCCCTTTCAGTGGCATTCGCACCTCCAAAAAAAGGGTGTCTGGAGCTATCCAGAGTTTAGAAGGACAGATCAAGTTCCTTCCTAGCCAAACTCAGATATTTTTTATCTGTTTAGCAAGTTGAGAACATACTGCTTCACCTACAACAGCAGATATTCTGGGAATTGCACAGTTCTACAAGTGAAAGTAACAAAATCAGATTGCAAGAAAAAGTGTATCATGCAGAAAAGGGAAAAAATAAAGGAAGAAAACCAGCTGAACTTTTTTCAGAGGTGATGCAATAGTCATTTTAGTCTGAGCATTTTTACCATTCCCTTTGAAATCTGTGGGTTGGGAACCTCTGTCAGTCTGGATCTGTGAGGTGTCTAGTATTTTTCAAATACTGTTTGACAAATAAATAAATATTCAGCCCCAAATACATATACCCTGGATCTTCTTCTGTATTTAAAAACCAAAAATAACCAAATCTTATTTTTCAAGTTTCTTCCTTGTAGTCTGCTGCAAAGCATCATCAGTTTTTTAATGTTTATTGTTTTTTGTTATTATTGTAGTTTAAAATATGACACTGGACAATGTTTACTACTAGAATTCTTCAATTCATCTCCCACCTTTCTCAAGCTTACCAAGATCCTAACTGAGAAAACGTGTCACTTTGTGGTTCTTGATTTCCTCAAGAACCTTCAATTGCTGATAGTGTCTTACACAAACAAACACTAGAAAAGAAACAGACCCCCTGAAAGAGAGGTAAATTTCAAGCCGGGAAACTGAAGGCTCTGCTCCACATCGACACATTCGGGCAAAAGCTCCTCTGTCCCTGCTGAAGCCAGGGGTCAATGTCTGCCTTGAAGCCAGAAGTACATTTTCACAATTCACACTGAAGCCTCTGAAGAAGTAAAAGGTGGGGAAAGTCTTTGCTGGAGAATAACAGGACACTGGCTATATCACTGCTAGGAGTGCGTTTGAAAACACGTACCATGTGGGCTGAGTGGGCATATGCAAAGGTGAAAATATACGCTCTTTTAAAAGCAATGAGATTTTTTCAGCAGCGGAGAGCCAGGGAACATTGAGATAGAAAATTAAGATCACCATCATTGTCACGAGCATATTTTTTTAACTTTTCTTCAGCCGGTTCCAAAACATGCTTTAGAAACACATGAAGCGCCTATAGCTCCTGCGAAATCCAGACCGCTGCTGTGCCATTGTAGGGCCCTTTAGCCCCTCGGCCACCCAGGCGGGGCTTCCCCTCCCGCCTTCCCCGGCGTCCCCCCGGCACTCGCCCCGCGCCCCCCGCGCCATTCCCGGCCGGGCCGCCCCGGGCGAGGCTGCGGGGAAGGGACAGCCCGGAGGAGGCAGGGCCAGCCCATCGGGGGAGCCTGCCCGGCTCCTACCTGGTAGGCGTCGGGAATGTTGACCGTCTCTCCGTGCTCCGCCACGTAGCCGATGATGCCCTTGCCCCAGGGCACCTGCACCTCGTTGCTGTCCTCGGTGGAGCCGCAGGGCAGCAGCGGCGTGCCGGCGTGCACGTCGAAGAACTTGGACACCAGGGTCTTCTTGCCGGCGGAGGTCCCCTCCACGAGGAAGAGGGATCCCCGGTCCGCGTCCACCATGAGGCAGACGAAGATGAGGATCTTATAACTGAGGCTGGTGAGGTCCAGGTCATTGGAGATGTCCTTGACCAGTTCCAGGAAAAACTGGCGCTCGTTGTGCTCCTTGAGGTAGCGCTTGTAGTCCAGGGCGGTGGGGGGGTACTGGGGCAGGCTGACGCGGGACTCCAGCAGGGCGCTGAGGATGTGGGCGGTGGTGGGGGGCAAGGAGCTGGCCTTCCGCAGCAGCGCCCGCCGCCGCACGCTGCTCAGCGGCTCCTGCGCCCGGGCGTGCACATGCTCGTCGTAGGTGAGGTTGACGTGGATAGCTTTGGAGCGGGCGAAGCTCTTCCGCAGCTCCTTCTGGGACGCTCGGCGCTGCAGCCCCCCGGGGCCGGGGCCGCCGGGGCCGCCCGCGCTCCCCCAGCTGCCGCCGAGGCCGTCGCTGCTCCGCCGCTCCTCCGACGGGCCGCCAGCGAGGGCGGCAGGCGCTTTAGGGAGCGAGTTCTTCCTCTGCAGCCACTTCTCCACCAGCTCCGGGTGCCTCTCTAGGAAACTTTCCACCGCCGCCACGTCGAGGCCGGCATCGCCGGCGGCTGCCATGGTGCCGGCGGCGGGGGCGGCTCAGGCCGCGGGAGCTCCCGCGCTGGCCATGCCCCGCCGCCGCCACGTGCTGCTGCTGCTGCCGCCCCGACGGCCGTCCCGGGGCACGGGGATGCCGGCAGCCCCGCGAGGGGCCGCTTCTGCCCCTTGCCCGGGCTCCTCCTCAGCGGCGCACCTTCTTCTTGCCTTCTGCTTTCCCCCGCGACCTCCTTTCCCTGCCCACTACTCTTTATTATTAGTAGCAGTAGTATTGGTATTTTTCTAGATATTTTTTGTTCTTCCCTGTTTTCAGCCTTTCGCCAGCTCTGACCTCGGTTCCCGGTTCTGGGCCGCTCCCCTGCTGAGTCGGGCAGGCGGTGCCGCCGCGCCTCTGGAGATGCTCCGGGAGCGCTCGGGCAAACCCCTTCTGCCAAGTGCTGTCAGTGCTGGCGGCGGCTCCTGCGTAAGCCAGCCGGCAGACCACTGAGAAGGAGGGAGGGGAGGACGCGTGAGCCGAGCGGGGGGGCAGGCGGGGAGGAGGGAGGGCTGGCGGGAGCGCTGGCAAACCCCGCTGCGGGTGGGGGGGCACTGCCGCCCGCCTGGCAGCAGCCGCCTCGGCAGGGCGGGCGGGGCGCGCAGCGTCCCCCGGCGGGAGGACCCTCGGCAGTGGGGAGCTGTGCTAGGGAGTTTCATTCAACAACATCGGGGGGAAAGGGAGGGGCCTTTTGTCTGTGATGCTCGTTCCGGGAGGGGACGAACTCCGCCGCGGCTCCCGCCCGCGGTCCGCGGGAGAGGCAGCGGGAGGTAATGGGAGCGCTCCCGTTAAAGAGCTCTCATTTATACCATTGTCTGAGCTGCTTCAGTACTTCAGGTGACAAGCAGAAAAACGGAGCCCTTCCAAGAATCCTGAGTGAATTCTGTTTCTTGAATCACTGAGTTGATTTGCGAATAGCCTCACCCTTGCGGAGCCCCGACTCTGCCCGGCGGGCACGGCTCCCGCGGGCTGCGAGGGGCACCCTGCCCGCCCGGAGCCGCCCAGGGCTGTCTGCCGCAAGCCGCTGTTCCCCGGCGCGCCCAGGCGCTCCTGGGTGACCGCTCGGGCATCACCGGCTGCCAGACGGAAACCGACCGTATCCACCGCCGGCAGACGGGCAAGGGTTATTTTTATGCGCACGTGGAGCACTTTTCATTGCTAAATCAATGCCTACGCATAAGCGATTGAAAAAACAAGTCATGGATCTTTACACGTGAAAATGTTTTTCGTGCGCTCACCAAAGACTGAATGAAGGCGGCTTCAGAAATTCATGAATGGGAGTTCGGGTGGCTGGGAAAACACACGGGCAAATCTTCAACCAAACGAGATTCCGACCTGCCGGGGACCCTGTCCCTGCAGCTGCCCCTTACGGCGCGGGGTGCGGGCAGTGCTTGCAAGGAGAGGGAGCACTTTTGGGACACGTGTCGATAGCGCAGGCTGGTGCGTGGGTGTCAATGGGGGAGGAAGGGCTACGTGTGTGTCCCGGAGGACGGCCGCGTCTCCCGCGGCAGTAGGGGTGGCCCTCAGGGGCTCCGTGTAGATGCTTCGGCTTGAGCAGCTCGGAGGCAGCTTACGAAGCCACAAACAAAGGATGTCGGCTCCCAGTCTGGGTGCCCGCGCCCTCGCAGGCTGAGCAGCCGTTCTCTCGCCGCCGCGGGTCCCGGGCCGCTGTGGCAGCAGGGCGCCGTGCTTGCCCCCCGCTCTCGGCGGGGTTTCATACAGGTCTCGGACTCTCCCCGCCGCGCAGGGATGCTGCCGCAGGAGGACGAGCTCTCTCTCCATTGAGAAGCCCCGCCGCCGCCGGCACACACCGGCAATAGGGCAGCGGGGGCGGCGCGCAGGCGCGCGGGCAGCCGGGGCGGGGGGCGCAGCCCGGCAGCGGCCCCGGAGCTCGGGGGGCGGAGGAGGGAGCGGGGGGCCAGCCCGGCCCTGGGCGGTGCGCGGCGGAGGGGAAAGACCGCTCCCGGCCGCCGCACCGTGCCCCGCCCGACTTGCGGAGAGCGCCCGGCTGCAGAACCCGCGGCGAGTGGGCTGCGGGGCGGGGGGGCAGAAAGCGGGGAGGTCGGAGGACACGCTCTAGGGATTCGTCCCCGAGCCGCTCGCGCCTCTGAAGAAGCCGAGCTCTTTCCATGCAGGTAGCTTGGGTAGGACGAGGCAGCGTATCTGGGCGAGGGCAAGGCTCTGTGAGCGTTTCCGAGCGCGCTGCCGGAGCTGTGACGCACGGGGGTTTCACGGGCGGGCGCAGCCCTCGGGCTGAGCCGCCGCTCTCACAGCGCCGGGGCGGCCGCGCTGGCCGGAGGCCGCGCTCCCGGAGTCCCCGGGCCCCCCGGGGCTGCCCCCAGCCTCGGATGCAGTGTTAGCGCTGGCACAAACACTCCACTTGCACAAAGAAATCGCGTGAGCGGCTGGAGGCCAGCCCGACGCGTACCGCCAGCTCTCAAGAGAGGACCTTGGGTGCGAAATAACTGTATGCAAATAATTTTTACCATCTGAACGTGGTACGGTTTGGTTTGAGCACTCACACCAGTGTTTACTACAAAATGGCTACTATGTAGCAGTTCTGTATGTAAACACTCAAGGCAACTTAGTGTTTCTGTAAGCCTAGGTATAAACTAGGTCCTTCAAAGTCTTGCAGCATCTTTAGTTTCTTTTGCTGGGATTCTACGCATAGGATTTGACTGCATCAGAAATCTGCATATTGACAATCTCTCAAATAGCAGTCAAGACTGAAGAAAGTAAAACTGTAGTTGTCTCCATTGCATGGAATACGTAGTGAAAAATTTACTGTAACAGTTTAATTGTAAAGAACTGTGGAACCTGAAATCCATACAGAGATGAAATGTGACAAAGATGATCACACAGGTTTGACGGTTCTGTAACTTGCACAGGCTTTGGACATGATGTAAAAACCTGGATAAAACCTTCAGAAACCTGGTCTGGTGTACGCTGATGGATGTTAAGAGAAAACTGGGGTCTCTGTTCTGTCTGCAGGGTGAGTTAAAGAAGCACAGTGTACTCTGAGCTGCAGCCTTGTGTTGGCTTGAGGTAGATTAGTTTCAGCCTTTTGTGGGAGGGCAAAAATAGGAAAATATATTTTGTCGATGCCATGGGACTGTGCCACTATTATAATTTTATAGGTATGCTGCAGTGAGGTACAAGCATCTTACATCTCATGCATCTGCGGTATGATGCACTTTTTTGTCAGCAGGGATGCACAATGCCAACTCAGACAGCAGTGCAGGCTTTAGCCAGTTCCACCTAGTTTCCTTGGGTACAACGTGCAGAAATGCCCTAAGATGCCCTAAAAGAATCACAAGGAGAAATGTCAATTAATTTCTCAGGTGCAGTGTGTTTCTCTGTGGAAGGCAGTGGAATAGCAGTCCTCAAAATGCAATTGGGAAAACCACTTGAGAAAATTTTGTCATTTGGGGAGGTGCTTTATTACTCTAAACAGTCTGAAAGGGGGAAGCAGTCCAGTAGAATCCAGGAGGATGGGAGCATAAATGATGTACAATATAAAATGCACAAGGTATACTTTGTCTTTGAGTTTATACTTTAATAAGTAAAATATAAATCCTCTTTGCATCATGGAAACTTGCAGTTCTTTGTATCATTTCATATACAACTACCTACTGCTTCTAAACTATGTGAATATCTTTGCAATTCCAATATCCAGAATATCCAAATTGAATTTCATACAGTTTTTTTTTTTTAAATTAGCATGATATTGACATTGAATTCCACAAGGCTGTGTTCCATTGAAGGGCATTAGGAAAAAGGTTGTCAATAGCCAGTTCCTGGAATTTCTTGACAGAAGTTGAAAAACCATTATTGTTTCCTTCCAAACCTGCTAAAACCTGTATTTTTCAACAGAAGACTGTGCTTGTACTGAAGAGTGCTGCAGTACCTGTAATGACATGTTCACATTTCTCTTCTGCCCTCCAGAGCGGACTCTTCCCATTGTCTAAAGTGAATTTAGATATCAGTTTGTTTGCTTTCTTTTCAGAACGTGTACTAACATCTGTATAATTTGTTCACTACAATTTTACTGGGAAAAAATAATTACAATATGCAGATGATGTACTGAAGGAAATTCCAGTATAAAGTGAATGTCACAAAACGTTTCCTAGAAGTCATAGGGAGGAAAAAAAGCCACACAATTCTAAAGCACTTTAGTAACCAGAAAAAAAATCCTAACCACAGGACTGTGTATATAATTAATAGCTTGATTCAATTAATATAATTTATATTCAAGTAACATTAAAAAAAAATAAAACCCACACAGAATGGTTTTTTTTTTTTTTTTTAGTATGTTTCACTGCTTTTCAAGACTTTCTCTGTGAAAAGCATAAGAAAAAACAACAGTCACAGTGTAGTAGTAGGGGACGGTATTTAGTCAGACAAAACAACTGCAGCACACCACGATGCCAGTAGGGGGTATTGACCAGCAAACAAAATCTAAAAGCTCTCCAGAATCAGAAATTAAAATCTGCCCATTGGCACTACAGTGTTCTGGGAAAGCTATAAACCTTCTGACCTGGTGTACTGAGTATTGGAAATTGTGCAAGTATCTTAATACAGGGAATGAGGATTTTTGTTTCTGTGGAACTGTAGTTCAAATTCATCTGTAGTACAGCAAAGTCGACAGTTGTGATAGTAAATCCTTGTAAGGCTATCATACCTCTAAAGAAAAAGCTTTTTATATTTATGTATGTCCCCTCCAACACTTCACCTTACTTATGTCACCTCTTAGTTTTGCCTTTGTTTTTGTTTGGATCTGAGTAAGAAAATCCCGCAGCTTGTCCTGTTGTACGGCCAAATTAACTCCAAAGATTTGGTCTTGTGCCTTCTATCTTTTCCAACAGTGTGGCACTGATAATATTCCTGAATGGAAAACATGTTAATTTCTCAACACAGCCCGTTTAAATCTACGGGAAAAGTACCAAATGTTATCACGTCCTTCTACTTGACAACTGCGTCTGCTTATGTGAAAGAGAGGGGGGATTTCTGCATATTCAATTTGCTTGTGAAAAATAGCAGGCGGAAAGCGCGCCGCCCGCCCTCCGTCCTCGCACGGTGCGGTGTGCGCGGCGCGGTGCGGCGGAAGCGGTGCGGTGTGCGCGGTGCGGTGCGCGTGGTGCGGTGCGGTGCGTGCAGGGCGGTGCGGTGTGCGCGGCGCGGTGCGGCGGACGCGGTGCGGTGTGCGCGGCGCGGTGCGGCGGACGCGGTGCGGTGTGCGCGGCGCGGTGCGGCGGACGCGGTGCGGTGTGCGCGGCGCGGTGCGGCGGACGCGGTGCGGTGTGCGCGGCGCGGCGGAAGCGGCGCGGCGGAAGCGGCGGCGGAAGGGGCGGGCGCTCTGAATCCGCGGCGGAAAAGGCGCTGCTGCACTTCCCTTCTGTACCTCAGGAGAAGGCTGCGGTGCTCGGCGGCCCCGCCATGGAGGAGAGCAGCGGCATCCGCCTGTCGGCCGAGTGCCTGGACGAGCCGCCCAACAGCCGCGTCTTCGTGGTGTTGGGCAAGGACACCGGCGAGGCGCTGATCCGGGAGCGCTTCTCGCCCTTCGGGGACATCCAGAACATCTGGCTCCTGCGGGACAGGCGCACCAACGAGTCCCGCGGCATCGCCTTCATCAAGTTCGCCCGCAGCTCGCAGGCCTGCCGGGCCATGGAGGAGATGCACGGCCGCAGCCTGCTCCCCGACAGCAAGCCCATCAAGGTGCGGCCGGGGGCGGGCCGGGGGCTCGCAGGCCGGGCCGGGCCGAGCGGGGCTGCGGGAGCCCGGGGGGCGGGCGCCTCGCCGGCCTTGCCTGGCCGCGCTGCCGGGGCGGGCCCGGCCCCTCGCGGGCACCGCCACCCGCGGCTCTCGTGAGGCCCGGCCGCTGCCGGGATCCCACGGGTGGCCTGCGCTGGAGCAGGCCTGCGGGAAATGCACCCGGAAATGAGGGCGTGTTTGTGACTAAGATTCTTTCGTATATTTTAAGTGTTGTAAGCAAAATAGTTGCGAATAAATAGAGCTGGTTTTGCCGGTATGTTTTATACTGGTTTTATAACTTGTGAACGCTTTTCAAAACTTTTTTTTTTTTAAATCTATGGAACTCTTCTCAGCTTTCTGATTTGCTTTCCTATTCACCAAGTACTAAGAAAGTATGAATGAGTTTGTATTGAGTCAGTAAAATCGTTTTTGAAGAGCTTGCCATCAGAAGCCAAAAGATCTGAGTTGTGTTCCTCACACCCTTGCATGGCTATTGGAAAAATAAATTAAGAGCTCTGTGAAATCAGTTGCTACTTTTGCATAGCAGGCTTGCTTTGAAAGTCTTTCTTACTTGGTTGTTGTTTTTTTTTTTTTTTTTTTTGGGTTTTTTTTTGTTTTTTTTTTTTTTTTTTTTTTTTTTTTTTTTTTTGGGTTTTTTTTTGTTTTTTTTTTTTTTTTTTTTTTTTTTTTTTTTTTTGGGTTTTTTTTTGGTTTTTTTTTTGTTGCTTTTGTTTGTGATTTACTTGGGCTTTTTTTCTTGGTTGTCTTCCAGTGTGCGCTTCTGAGATGAAATTTATTTCAATAACTAAAAAAGATTTTAAGAGTAACAGATATGAGAAGCCGTGATCCTTCATAGAGCAGTAAACTTTACATAGACCTGTAAACTTTGGCCCAGCTGAGCAGTGAACTGCAGTGGCCCAGTTTTATTAAGTTGCTAGACTTTATTGTTTCCTTGCTTGCTTATTTGTTTCTACTACTGCTGTACTAGGCCTGTTGCAATAATACATTCTTTGCTACCTGACATGTCACCGGTGATGTTGACAGTGCTGCTGAATCAGCAGTGGTATTTCTCACCACTCCTCATTATCCCCAGTAAGGAACTTCTCTGGCCCCTGTCCTGTTTGGGATTTATTGTATTTGTAGGTTTTGGGATTTATTGTATTTGTAGGTCTGTTATCACGGGTGGTCACAGGTGTTCTTTTCTCTCCATGCTAGGGCAGCCTGTGTGAACAATAAATACAATGTTAAACTATTTCACTTGCTTGTTGATAATGTGTCTTAGACGCTTTTGCCGGTAATTGCTAACTATGTGATTATTTCATTAGGTATTTATTGCACAGTCAAGAGCTTCTGGAAGCCACCGAGATCTTGAAGATGAGGAGCTTACACGAATCTTTGTTATGATACCAAAAACCTACACGGAGGAGGATCTGCGGGAGAAGTTTAAGGTTCTGATTTGCTGTTTGTTGTTATTTTAAGATGCCTTTTTCTAAATTTATTAGAAGGGCATAACACATGGAACATCTCATGGTTTTCAAATGTTGGAAATTAATATGTTTTTTCATTCTTCTAGATGTATGGAGACATTGAATATTGCAGCATTATTAAAAACAAGACTACTGGAGAAAGTAAAGGTTTGGGCTATGTCAGGTACCTGAAACCATCACAAGCTGCCCTAGCAATTGAAGAGTGTGATCGAAGTAAGAATCCAAGTGAATTCTTTAAGGGTTTTTTTCCAATAAATGGGTATCATCATAACATACCTTTAATTTTTAGTTTTGTTTGCGGCTAAATTATTCATGATGCAGAAACATGTTAAGACAAAGTTTTCTTGCAAATATAAATAGCATTGTTAACATTCATTGAGAACAATCACCTGATTATGTTTTTTCAGGACCAAACTGCAAGTAGGATCAGTGAGAAGAGTTTGGAAATGGACGTGGAGTTTTCTTTTGTTTATTATTATTGGTCTGTAGTGTAGGCTTCGTACACAGGAAAATATTTTAACTCATTCTTGCAAACAGGCAGTTTTAATCAAATGTATTTGATATAAAATTAATTATTATATAAAATATATTGCATGATACATAGGGACTCTGTTGTGATCACATTTATTTAAGAACAAATTAATGCTAACTGAAACTGGGGGAAGAGTGATTGTTTTTGTTTAGTGTTGTGATTTATCTGTTACAGAGTGAAAGACTTTGTATGCTTTATTTATTACCAGCCTTGGTAAGGCACTGGAACGGGTTGGCCACAGAAGTTGTGGATATCCCATCCCTGGAAGTGTTCCAGGCCAGTTGGATAGGGCTCTGAGCAACCTGGTGTAGTGGAAGCTGTCCCTGCCCAAGGCAGGGGATTGGAACTCGGAGATCTGAAAGTTTCCTTCCAACCCAAACTATTCTGTGATTCTATAAGTTGTTACTTATGCTTCAGTACCAAAAGTTAATGAATTCGAGTGAGGCTGGTGGAAGGATGTCAGGGGCTGGAAGCACAAGAGTTTGGAGGAGAGGCAGAGGGAATTGGGTTTGCTCATCCAGGAAAAGAAAGCTGTTAGGCTTCTGGGAAACCTACCTACTGTTCAATGTGGCTTAATCACAAATATGAAACAACTTGAGGTTTCATATATGAAACAACTGAGGTTTCAACCACCTCAGTAATGTGTGTGGTGGTTCTGCATTGTATCTATTTTAAGTGGTTCTACAGAAATTATATTTGTGCATAGGAATATGAACCTGAGATTACTTAGCAGTCAAATTGTATTTCCTTTTTGCTGTGAGGTTAAAATGAAATTAGTTGGATAGCTTGACTGTAATACCTCTTTCTTTCATAAAAGCAGAACCTAGATGAGTGTAAAACGTCCATAAACTACTGTTTTAGCACAGAAGTTCAGGTGATGGTTTCTGGAGCATCTCAGAATCCTGCTAAGTATCACAGAATGGTTGAAGTTGGAAGGGACCTCTGGATGTGGTCTTGCTCAACCACTTGGCTCAAGCAGGGTCACCTAGGTACTGGTGGTCCAGGACCATGTCCAGGTGACTTTTGAATATCCCCATGCATGGAGACTCCATCGCCTTTCTGGGCAACCTGTGCCAGTGCTCACTCACTCTCATGGCAATTAGCTTCTGTCGTGCTTGACTTGTGAGTAGGAGTAATTCCATTTGAAAGCTGTTAACTTTCACAAAATTATTTGGGCAGACTTCAAGAGCTATAATTTAGTTATTCTCTAAAGCTAGCACTTAGTGAGTTTTCTGAATAATATGTTTCTAAATATGGAGCTTGAAGAACGTGGGCCTGGTCAGATAACTGAGATGTGCTGAGGTGTTGCTATCTGTGTGGTTGTTTCTTTCAGGTTACAGGGCCATTTTGGCTGAACCTAAAAATAAGTCATCTGAGTCTTTTGAACACGATTATTACAGTAATGCCATGAGACCAGAACTAAGAGGAAATACGCTTCCATTTTGTAAGTCACAGCTTTTTACACTAAAAATTATTTGTAGTCTGCAGTATGGTTACTAAGTAATAATGTGGTTTGGAGGAAGGGAAGCTGATGGAGGCTTAGGTCAACACTTAAATAGTAGATTGGATATTGAAGTTAGAAACTGGCCAGGCATTTAATCTCTCTACTTTTGTGGCTTGCTTTGCTCTGGTTGCCCAATTATTTTGTGACCTGCAGTGGTGAAATCAACATGTGACCTTTAGCATATAATTGACTTGGATTACTTTTAGAAGTTGAATGTAACATATGCATGAAATGAAGGCATGCAAGTATGATGACTCAAATTATTTTGTTGATTCCCAAGGTATGCAGCCAGAATTTTGTAGCTTTGAAAAAGCTGAGACGCGAATTCAAGAGCCAGTCTCCAAGCGCCTGTCGGTGGTGTCTCGGCTCCCCTTTATTCAAGAGCAACTCTTCGCCCTTTTTGATTTAGTTCCAGGTCTGGAATATTGTGATGTTCAGAGAGACCCTCATACCAATAGTGGTAAGTAAAAGTACAAAAGGTTTTTGTCTTTTTTCTCTGAAGGGAATCCTGTGTAATTGTACTTAATTCATTTGCACTGCAAAATACAGTACGCTTGCTGGAAACAATCAGTGGTTGCTGCTGTCACTGCATACACCCCAAAATTGAGTTTTGTTTGAACTCCAGTTTACACAGAGCTTATGCCTTCACTTTCAGATAATAAAAACTTAAGAAGGATGGAATCAAAGTCATGATAAGTGGGTTTTAGTCAAATTAATAGTTTGAGGCAGAATAAATGAAGAAGTTTCAGAAATTATTAGACATTAAAGTAAAATGTTCTCTAAACAGATCTTTGGAATTTTTCATTCTGAAATATGTGCATGTGTAGAAGTTGATATGGGTAAATGGGGATTAAATAATTCCAAAATGGATCATGGTTTTCTACTGAAGGAGTGTTTGGTTTCAGTCTTGTTTTACTGCTGCTGAGACAAATATGAAGTGGTCTCTTCTCCAGGAAACTTGAAATGTGAATGATTCAGAAAGTTACATTTTAACTTTACAGTTCTTGAAATTCACTGTTGATGGGATAATTTTATTCAAAAATGCAATTATGTATCCTTTTGTTACTAGTTCTGGAGTAGTGAGGAAGATGTGTTTTCACTTGTGTGGTTTTACTGTCAGCTTTTCAAGCTAGCATAAATACAGTTCACCTGTCACTAGTAAATTTCACTGAAGCTTCCTTCACAAATGAAAGTGATGAGGTAATAATGATATGTGCTAAAAAGAATTTTGTGTCATCCATGACTGATGTGCAGTTTAAATATATTGCTTGTGTGAGTGCAGTCTGTTCTGAGGAGTTACCTGTTTCCTGCTGACACTGTGTGCGCGGTGCTTGCAGGGTACGCTGTGATTCAGTACAGCACTGCTGCCTCAGCTATATATGCCAAGTACAAACTCCATGGGTTTGAGTATCCTCCTGGAAATCGACTAACTGTCATTTTCCTAGAAGATGGGAATGACAGCTCAGAGTAAGTACAACTTACAAAGTTGGAAGTTACATTCTGGAGAGCAAAATATAAAATAAATACATTTTTAACATAAGATGTAACATCAGTATCACTGTGAGCTTGTGCCGTACTTGCCAATAGTATTTTCTGAAACTGTTTGGTTTGGGACTTTCTTCTTGAATGGTTTAGAATAAGCCTTTTGAAACTTAGTCTTGGTAGATTAAGAAAATGCTAAAATACACATTCTTAAGATACTACCTAAAAATCTAGGATTTGGCAAGAATCTGTCAATATATCTGTAACATGTAACAAGGCTGGAATGTATTTTTTGAGTTTTATGAATTAGAACTAGATTTATGTACTTCATCTCTTGGTTGTGTTTGCAGTAGTACAAGCAGTAGTTTTGTGAAGCACATATGTAGAGTAAAACTTTGGGTGCTAAGGATCTGATATTGGCACACTGTGGGGAATTCTCAGGTGTTTGCCCACATCTGACTTCTTACTATGTTTTAAATACGCAGTACAAGGTGGAGCAGCTTAAGTACTCTCCTGCAGTGAGTGTTTTGCCTTAGTTTCATCCTAAAGGAATCCAGTTCATGTCAAACCTGTTCTGGGAGATGAAGACAGTAAGGAGGGGCAGTGGAGAGATTCACTTCAGAAGTGTGTGGCTGATCTGAACTAAAGCCAGTGTTCATTGCAACCTTCATTCTTCAATAATTGCTATGTGGTCTTGCAACACAGGCTGTGTATCTATGCAAAAAGAGCAATTGCTTTTTCTTACGCTGCAACAGAATAAAGAAAAATCACTGGAAAATGAGAGCTGGAAGTAAACGTTCTATGGTAATATTTTGATCTCTGAACTGAATCTCTGTGTTCTTTACGAAAACAGGTGGAAATTTTTTTGTCTGTTTTGCTTTTTAGGCATGCCTCACAAAATGTAGTGGGTTCTTGTAGAGATGATTTCATCTTTTTTCCCCCTAGAGTGTTAAAAACCCCAAAGAGTAGTTTTTTGTATCTCTAAGTGGTAATGAATGAATGTTTTCAGTGAGTTGCAGCTAGCATGCAGGCTTTCAGATCTCTCTGTAGGCTGTCATGAAAGCCTGTCTTGATTTTCGTTATCTACACAGCGTTACAGATTTCTAGAGATACTCTGACGTGTATTAAAACTTACTTTTTCTTGCTAAATTCAAGATTGCTGTAACTTAGCTCTTTCTTTAAAGTAGTTTGTTGTCACTTCTGCTTGCAGCCTTATCAGGAAAATGGCAACGCAGCTGGTGACAGCGCAGGTGTCGTCGGCGTTGCGCGGTAGCAGCGCCATGGTTCAGCAGTACAGGACGCCTCCTGTAAGTTCCGATCATGGACGGCGTTGGTATTCTGCTGAATTGTTGTAAGAAACCTCACACATGCCAATAAAGAGCGCTGCTCACTTGCTTCTGCAAACTGTTCTATGTGCTGCATCTTTATTCCCTGAAAACGTGGCTGACCTTGCTTGAATTTGTTGTCCAATTTAATGAAATACTAAAGTAAATAAAGTAATGAAGATTAGAACTCACAGAGCCTATTTATGTCCTGTAATGGAACAAAAATGGTAAGAAAGGTAAAATTACTTCCCTGCCCCCCACCACCAGTTAACTTATACTTGCATTTTTTTCCCTTGTTTCAGCAAGCGTTTGGAGGAGCTTCTGCCCCACAGTTGCTGCAGCCCCAAACAGATGCCATACTTCCACCACCCAAAAAAAAAGTTCCACCTGACACTTCTGTGAAGGAAAGGCTTTTCATACTTTTTCATCCCCATCCTTTACCTGTAAATGTACTGGAGGATGTGTTCTGGTAAGACTGTTTACAAATAAGTGTTCCCTAACAAAAAGGAAACAAACTATGAAATATAGAAAGTAAATATTGAAAATAAAAAACAGGGCCTGAAAACTTTCCAGAAAAGGCAGTGCACAGTGACTATGAAGTCATAAGTGAACAGTAGGTAACAGTTGCTTTTTGAAAGAAGTGTTTAATGGGGTTCATGTTGAAGCATATCTGCAGTATCATCAGTGTAGCAGCTTTATTACTTAATCTGAAGTAAAATGTCTAGTCTTCTAATGTAGATTTTTTTAACAAAAAAATGTAGTACTTATGTTACTATTTCCTAATTAATTTTGCATTTTCTTTTACTTATTTTTGTAAGGCATTTAACTATTTTGATAAATTTCCACAGTAACCTAGGGGGAGCAAGTGTAGGGTGTTGTTTTTTTCCTGATACACTATAATGGTTTGCATCTTACTGACACTATTTCAACTGTTCTTTGTATCTCCCTCTGTGGAGCAAAGACTTGAGATAATTTTTGCCATATTTTAAAAAAACTGTAATTAGTAGTTCTTCAGTACTTTATATTATTAATTTGTACTATACTCTTGAAAAAAGAGACATTTTCCTTTCTAATAGCTTTAATTTGCAATAAATCTTTGGAAAGCCAAAATATTTTAAAAGCATCAGGAGAGGAAAACATTTTGTGTGGAAGTCAAAATTGTACCTGTATGATATAGTGGATTTTGTTAATCGGATACTGGAGGAGGAAAAGGTTATGGACCTGAGTCTTGGCACTTCAGTAAGAAGCAAGCAGACTATTTTTAAAAAATATTTCAGGACCTGTCTAAGAATCTCCTGAGTACTCTATTTTTTCCTAAAAAATAGAAAAAAAAATACTGTACTTTTGCCTGAAGCTGCGGTGCTTGCTTTCTGAGTCATTTCAGTGAGACCTTTTCCAAGGTAAATCACAATTGAGCAAGTTCATTTAAGTGAGATGCAGATTTAGCTTCTAAATTATCTGCTGGCTTGGATGTGTGTGTCTTACTTTTGCTTGGTTTGGGGTTTTTTCTTGTTTTGTTTTTTGCAGGATGTTTTGAGTGCCTTTTAGTGTTTGGGGGCCTGTAGTATTGATCAGCTTTACATATTCTTGTAAATAAGAGAGATCACTGATATTTGAGGTTCTGTTATAATATTTCATAGAAAACATCTGTGAACTTTCAGTGTTCATTTACTTCTACATACACCTAATTCAAGAGAAGGGAATATGCAAATTGGGAGCATAGATATAAAGTTAATGGTTTTGCAGTTAACAAATCATATATGCTTTAGACTGGAAATTTTTTTGCAGGAAAATCTGTAAATTACCTTTTCTTTTTTTTCCCCCCGCCCCAGTCGTTTTGGACAGTTGATAAGTGTTTATCTTGTGGCTGGAAAAAATGTGGGCTATGCAAAATTTGCAGACAGAGCAAGTGCCAGCGAGGCCATAACTGCATTGCATGGCAAGATTGTGAATGGTGTGAGGCTGAAAGTGAGGTTGGCAGACTCACCCTCGGAGGAGCCCAACAAGCGCCAGAGAACTTACTGAGCAGGTGAGTACCCCCAGCCAGCCTGAGCTCTTACTTACCCTGGAGTCAGCTACTTGAAATAGTGACAGGCAAAGATTTGAAGTTAGACAATACAAACATAGAATGATAAACTCTAAATCTATTCTTAACTAGCAAACTGAAATAGAATTTTTGATATATCTGTGTGTGTATACACATACATACATACATATATATATATGGGGGTGTGTGTGCTTATATATATATGCAAGTGCACTTCATTTTATAAAAATCAATTTTTATAGTCCTCAAAAAAAAAAATGAACCAGTTGATAAAAATCAATCTGGATGTTGATAGAAATATTACTTTTGTACTTGGGAGAATCAGTTGGCATTGAAAACACTATGCAAAAAATAAACAATGAAACAGATGTAAGCTTGTGTGTGTCTTTTTTTCGTTACTATCATATGCCCTCAGTGGCATTGGTTAAAGATGAAAAGTTGAGCCCTTGAAGGGCAGAGGAGTGACAGGGTAAATAAAAAAAGGATGGGGGAGCAGGTAAGATTGTCAGGTGGAACCAAAGGTTTGGGATATTTGGGCCATCTGTGTTCTCAGAAATCAGGTGTAGCTGAAATATGTGATAGATGAGAAAATGAAGCAGAGCCTGTGGTGAAGGAATTGAGATAGGTGTTTGAGGTAATTAGTTTGAGAACTTTATTATTTTAGGCTTATGGCCTGTGAAAGCTGGCTAAACTCCTAGAGATGTTTTATATCTTAATGCCTTCAGGGATCAAAATTCAATTGTTCTTTTAAACATTGCTTTGCTTCAAATTATATTGACTTTCATCACATTTTTGAATTATTTTTATTTTTTTTCAGCATTAGGACTATTGCCATAGGAGAATATAGTTGGGGGAGAAAAGCCTAAGCCCTTTTTCCTACAAAATAACTCTCAAATATTACAATAGCTTCCAGATATTTCCAGTACTATACTATCTTCCCAGGGAATATGAAGTTTTGAATAAACTAATTCAGAAAATATCATTACTGTCTTTGCATCAGTATTTTCCCTTTAAGCTTCACTCTTTGTACCTTTCTTTGTATAGATGTTTTTTGTGACCCCAGAATTGCAAAGACCAAAAAAAGCTTTTGCCCAAAGTGTTCTTTTTCTCCTTTTCTTCTAAACCTCCATGTTGCTCTTTTGATAAGCAGCAGAGACTAAATGTGGCCTTAGTTTTTATACACAACTTTTGTTTTAATAAGTTGGATTTCTGGGCGTTCTTTTTCTGCATGGAATTATAGCTAAAACTAAATTGAAACTTTTTTTAATCATCAGCTCTGGTGAATGCAATTTTAAGTAACTTGTGCCCATGCTCTTATCTTTGTAAAACATTTTGTTTCTTTTTAATGTGACTTTTGCTTTCAGCAATAAAAGCCCAGCTTCTCTGTCCCTACAGGAATAACTATGATGTGATGGGTAATATAATACCAGGTCTGCCTTGTGTACTTTTTACTGGAAAAGTGTAAATACAACATGTATCCAAAATTAGAAAAATTATTTATCCCCATTTTTTCATACACCAGGTTCTTAATTCCAAGTTTCCTAGCAGGTTGTTTTGGCATCTCTCTCTTTTCAGGATAGACAGACAGAATCACTTGTTCATTTGTCCTTTAGCTGGTTTCTCAAATTCAAATGAAGTGGTACCTAAAAGGAAAGATTGCTTTTCAAAAGGGCTTGCCCATATAAATGATTTTCCCCTGGAAAACAGGCTTTTTTTTTTGTGCTGGACTGACTGACAAGCTTTGCAGTAATTTGGAGGCTTATATTTTGCTTTTTGTTGAAGTGTTAAATTGTGCTTGTGAAAAGAGGTGCAATTCTCCCTACCTCTGAAATAGCTGTGGTTTTTTTAAGATGTGAGAATACTAACTTTTTTCATTTTGAATTTTAGCTGTAGGAAATAACCTTCCTAGCTAAAATTTCTGTGAATTTTCACTTCAGGAAATCATTGCCTCTTGAAAAAAATCCTTTCTAAAGTCCTGTTGTACTGCTTGCCTTCCGTCTCTAACAAAGTGACTGGATTTCTAAAATAGTCTTTTCTATACAAGGTTTTCTGATGAAAATTCATTATAAGGTCTGTGAATTCTAGAATCTTTATGAAAATAAATGTCATGCAATGTCATAATTAAGTAACATATTTATTATTTTAACACATTTGAAGTTTTTCCCCAACACTTTCTTATGCTTACAGCCTTTTTAAAATACAATTTGCAAAATTGTTTCTTAAAAAAGTATGCTACTCATAATGCTTTTGCAATGCAAACTTCTGACTATAAGAACTTTCTGTTACCTTGCAACAAACTTTATTTATCAGGGAAATTTGAATACACATCTATTCATATTCTGAACTAGTTCACTAATGAATTTTGCAGGCTCTGGTTCTCCTACAAGTCAATGAAAATTAATTTGTTTATGTGAATAATTAAAAGTAGCAGAGAAAACATGGAAATACAGACCAGGGGGGTTCTCTTCACCACTTTAAGTTCTATTGTAAGTTTCTTGGGGTGTGAAGTTATCCCCTTTTATGCTAAGCAAGTATTTATGGCTGAAATAATCACTTCAAACTTAATCTTGCTTTAAATCAGTGTAGGCTTGAGAAGGCAACTACAGTGTCTACTTCTAGGCAGTTGCTGACTTAAGAATCTTGCTCAGGGCTTTGTGTTGCTTGGAATATTTTGTGAAAAGCTCACTGCTGTGTCTGATGCCAGTTACACACACTCTGTCATTCAAAAATAGAAGAGGAAGGGAAGAATTTGCTATCTGTCAGAAGAATGTATTGTGGCATTCCAATTAATCTCTTCATTGCTACCTAGTAGTTCTATTTAAATACCACCCCCACCATTGGAAACCCCCAAAACTACTAAGCAAGAGACCCACAAGCAAAAAAAAATCAAAAAGCCCAAGTCCACCCAAAAATGTCTGTCATAAAGCTTTCAAATAGTTCTTGAAAGCAGAGTTTCTAACCAGCTTTGTGTTAGAAATGCCAGACACAGCTATGTGGAGCTAACTTCTGTGGCTTTTGATACTCATTGCTGATTGACTTACAGCAAATGGATTCATTGCATTTTTCTCCTGCTGAAAAAACTTGGGTCTTTTTAATAATTATTTAGTTACTGACTAAGTTGCAAAAAAAATTTATTCTCTCATAAAATACTTGGTTATTTTTGTCTTTGGTTATTCATGTCCGGAAGAAGTGCTGCATCACTGATTTAATTTGCATTAATTTTTTGACTTAAACCTTTATTGAAATCCTGATGTTAATATGTATATATTTTAATGATTTACTGCTCTACAAAAATGTTTTTAAAAGGTAATTGTACCATAGTTATGATATACATTGAAAAAAATAGTTGTATTTTGTATCAACAGTATACTGCAGAAAAAATACTGGCTTTTACACACAGCTCAGAGAAAGAGGTGCTTCTTTAAAAGTTAGAGAGGCATGCTTAAAACTTTAGTATTATTCTTCTAAAGATATTGATACTTTATTTATATGCTGTTGTAATGATTATATTTTATAATACGTACTTTGAAATAAAAATAGGTATGTTGCTTTTGATACTATTTTTGTGCTTGTGTTTTTTCTACAGAAACTAAGTAATGACATGACCCTCAGCTAGCTGACTGACTGACTGAAAACGTGACTAGACATGGTTCCTGTGGACAGTGACAGCTTTTTTCAGTGACAACTTTTTTTTTTTTTTTTTGTTAATTGTTACTTAGTTGATCTCTCTATGATCCTTTCTCTTTCTGAATATGCAGACATGCAGTTTTGAAAATTATGTAGGCATTAAAAACTGTAAACTGGTGGTTGTTCTTGTAATAGTATATAACCTTGTATTACAGAAATAGCTCTTGTTTTTACCTGAATCCTTCTTATAAGATGGAAATTACAATGATGGAGGAAATAAAGGAGCCAGCATTTTCTGACTTGAGTGGTTAATTAATAATGATTAAGATTCTGTTAAAATATAAGACATCTCTCATGATCCAAATTGCACTGGAAAGTGAAGTACAGCAGTTAATTCAAGGAAAATGAAGTAACTTCAACAATGCCAGCAGACATGACAGTATTAATCTAGATTTAAGAATTTCTGTAATCAAGAAAATAATTCAAAGTACATTCTTAAATATTTTGTTGCTTTGGGCCACAATTATTAGTTCTGCTGTTTAGTGAAAGGAACATTAGACTCTGTCAGACTACCAAAACTTATATTTATGCTTTCTTTTCCTGAGGTCTTTTGGCTATAACTGCAGGGAAACTATGAAGTCTAGGGCTGTGGGTTTATTTTTGTTAGTTTTGAGGGATTGGGGTGTTTTGTTTGTTGGTTTTTTTTTCCCCAGAAGCTTTCAATGCATATGTTCAAGTAAGAGTTGGACAAGTCAAGTTTTCAGCAGGATGAAGATGATTTCAGCACTGATGGAGAGTAAATGTGCACAGATAATTTTCAAATGCCATTACTTTTCTGTGTATTCCTGTATACTACTTGTTGAATTGGAAATATCCTGGTTATTAAAATATGATATAGAGATAAAATCGAGGAATTCTAATTGTATGCACTCTAGAGAAGCATGCCCTTGGCTGCTTCAAGCTTCCCAGCATCTCCCATATGGTCCCTTCATCCATTGGTTCGGAAGTTTAAATGCAAAGTAATGAACCATGTATTTAAAAAGAACCAATTTTTTTCTTTATTTAAAGGAATATTAGACTTCAGATGTTCAAATGGGAGCAAGCTGCAGAGTAAAAGTTGCCTGAGAAACCTTTTCCTTCCCTCCATTCCAGTACTTGTTAAAAAGCAGTTCTCAATGACTCACCAGCAGCTCTTTTCCCCAAGTGCAGTTGTTTCATTCAGCACAAAGAATAGAATTGAATAAGGGCTGTATGGGTTAACCAGGCTGTAAAATTCCTGCTTAATTTGGTGTAGCTGTTAGAAATCAGTGAAAAGACAGATTTATGGTTGAGCCTGGAGAACTGGATCCTGTCTCTGACTCCAGCCCAAAGTTTGGTTCTAAGGAGGGTTGCCATTTCTCTTGTGTTTCCCTGAAAAAGTTCCAGTTTGGATTTTCTGTTTATTTGGTTGGTTTTGGTTGGTTTTCCAATCCTTCATGGTAAATTTCTAGTAGCATTTGGGAATTTTCCATATTTGCATGGGGAAAATAATTTTGACCAGGTTGCCATAAATCCCAAACTCCAGAACTGTTGGGCAGCACCTTTGCACTCTTAACTGTACAGTCAACATGTGCAGCAAGTCCAGTATTTTCAGAAAGCATCAGTCCTGTTCTGTGGACATGGAGAGACAGCACACTCTTACAGAGGGTCTGATACATGCTGCAGAACCTGGATGCCTTGGTTTATCCGCACAGTACCAGCT